GTGATGTTTCAGTGTATTATGCTTTCTTTAGGTTACCGATTTTCATTTGTTCTGAAAGACTGTTTCGTTCGAATGCTTTAACTTTACTGATATACTACCTGCTTTGCGTAAGATGCATAACCATGATTGGTTATTGCTTAAATATAATTGGAAATGGGAATACAGTTTTGGGTTACAAAGGCTCTTACTTTAAGTGTAGATTTTGCTCAGGCTTTGGCTATTTTGGTAGTGGTTTTATCCAAATTGGCTTGTTAATGTCATTGCATGTAACTGCAGATTTCCTTACTTTTTACAAATTGTTTTTTGTCGATAGAACAAGCTGTTGACGATTCTTTTCTCAATTAATTTCGTCAGAGATATCTGCGGACTGTCCTGAATAATTTAAGAATCGGCTATATCTAGATCTGGTAATTGAAGACACTACATTCTCACTGGTTTGTACTATTATCTTGCCAAGTTTCCGAGGGGTTTCGACAGATTTATAGGAGCGCTTCAGACTAATCGTAACCACTAAGAAAAGTATACTTTAGCACAATTCACCAGATTACCCTCATTGTTGGGTGTGTTGCCGCTTTTCACGATTGCGACCAATCAATGTAAATCCAGATGGTAAGCACAGCTTAGCCGCTACTAGTAATGGTCGTGGACCTATGGTATTTTTGGACATGCGATGCATAGGCGGTTCTTTTTCTGGTTAGAATAGTACCTTGCTGTTACCAGTAAGGCGTCAGTAAATAATACCCTTTTATGTGTTTTCCAGAAGCTCTGAAACTAGCATTATCATTAGTTGGAATGTTCAAGTGATTGTCGATATTTTTCACTGCAATAAGCTTGGTTTACGAATTGCATTCGTATTCGTTTTCACAAAGGTCTTATCTTATTTTTCTCATATGCCATTGATTGTTTTGCTACATACCCATTTTGGAATAGTTGAAGGATAATAGACAGGGAAATAGTCATCTTCTAAGTTTAAAAAGTTTATTTAAAGTAAATTTATTTTGATCGTAAATCTTCTTTTGATTCGCAAATATAAATTTGTATTTGCAGGTCGCGGAAACTATAATGAAGGATACTCCAGAGTTTGGCGCGATGGCAGCGGCCCTCGGAGAATGCCGCGAGGAGGTCGAGGTGCCGGACCGCCGATTTTTAGAGAACAGGGTCACCCTGTTTCATAGTGTCCGAGACTACAGTTCTGCGTAGTTTTTTTCATGCTTTTGAAATTGTACGTTACCTCTGTTCGTCGAAGGAGGGACGCTATTTGTTCGTTTAGACTGGCGTTGTTCTTTTCATCTGAACTAGCATGAAAGTTTTGATACCTTCAACAATAAAGAAACTTGAGCATATTTCTTATTACATTGGCATATATCATCTTACGTATGCGTACTTTTGTTTGGTAGACGTATTATTGTGTTCTTGGTGTCTGCCTGCCTAATATGCCGCTCACGATTTCATTCTTGACATTAGGAAAAATTCTTTTAGTTTTCAACCATGATTTTCGGCTAAAGCTTGAAGAAATAGTAAATCGCACGAAATTATTAAGTTCTGATTAGTTTTTATTTTGCCACACTGAAGCTTGGAATTCTTTATTCGTTCATTTTATGCCATTTTCAATGTTTTATTTTATTCCAAGAAATGATTTTCAGCTGGTAGATTGGTTTGGGTCATTATTTAGTAGTTTTGGCGATGAATCGATTGCTTGATTAATGAACCAATTTATTTGCGTTGAATTAGTTTATACGTTAAGAAGCTTTGCAGAGGTAAAGGGGCGATGCTTCATAGAATGGTGGTAACTCTCTATGACTCTGATGTGACGTAAAATGACTGATAGTTGCCACGAGACTAAATATGTATCACAAGCACTGCCTGAATCGTTCTATTTACGCTAATGGCAGAACTCAACGTTTCCAGTGGGGGTAGGTACCTAATCCATTAGTTGCATGACGATCTCCAGACATGAAAATTAGCACTTAGCGAAGGGCCATATTTAACAGGTTTCATAGTCGATGCTACTGAAGGAAGATGTTTAAATCCACTTTTCTTTGTGCATTAGCGTATGTTGATTGCTAACCTATTGGTAAAAGCTGACGATAAGTGTCTAGTCGATGAGGCTAAGAACGTGTGAAGTGTAACGGATTTCGTTCCAGTTGCACAAAATCAACAAGGTTTATCTAAAGTTTATGGCCATGTTAATGGAAGTGGCTGGCTTGACAGGACTGTCAGAATTGTGAAAAGAATCACAGCCGTCCAAGAACACTTGGATTCCCGTAGGGTAAAATTACTTGATCTGCGGTAGACGCACTGAACAACGGCGCAGGTTAGATTTTTACAGATATGTGAATATTTCGCTCAGAAACGAGTCCAGTGAGTCATTCGATGTTATTATCTGCCATCGCTGCTTCTCCTTTTGGGTCGCGACAATGTTATTATTAGTAATTAACTCAAATCTATTTACCCAATTCCTCGGAAAGTTATTGATAGATATCCTCAACAATGCTGTTACGCAAGTGGCTGATTATTCTCTAAGTAAAAAAGTGATTATATAGATTTAATGTGCCCCCTCCCCCTACAGTTCAAAAAGAAAGTTTTCATCTGCTAATCACAACTATCTGCCGTAAGTGCGTTGTCAAATGTAAAAATGAAACGCATCATTCCACTATATCGTTTGAACACGTCATGCATGACGTCATAATTATGACCATATTTCGAAATTGCCGTAAGTTTTAGATTGTTCACGGAAACATGCACAAAAAGGGAACATAATCACTACCACGTTTGCAAGGCTGTCTTCGCAAACTAGGCTGAACTGAAGTGCTATTCTTTATCCGTCGTCGGTTTTATTGCCCGCTTAAAAAATGGAGCACTTTTTGCGGCATAAGATAGCGTTGTCGAACCACGTCCTCGATGGAAATTCGGTCGCATACCGCTTTTTATGCGATATGCAGCTGTGTACAGACTCAGTCGGCCTCCGCAGAATGCACCAACTTTTGTATGTACCTGTTGGAGGATGTTTTGTGTGACTGTCTACAAAGAGGTCCGGGTTGAGTTCGACGAAACTGAGTGAGCAGATTTCTCTGCCATTGACTTATTGGACTTGAACTTAGCAGCGAGTCATTTCAGGCACAGTAAACGCTGGTTCAGCTGTCGCTTCATTCCATGTAGATTCTGAGCAAAGACACTTTATAATGTGTTCCCTTTCCAGAGATTAGACAGCATGATGTACTGTTATGCGCAATGGCTTACGAACTATAGCCACTCTTGTGTTGGCAGAAATGTTATGCTGTGCCTCTTGCACAACGCTGTTTGTCCAGCATAGATTAGGTTTTCTCCTCGGATTGGATCAAGGGTCTAAAATACTTTCATTACGTACTCGTTATTTCCTACAATGACATGAGTAACGGCCATTGCTTCTGCTTGTATGGTTTCTGAAACGAGCGTTGTTGCCCATGTTACTTTACGACGTCGTTGATGAATTATGAATTTATATTCTAACGTGTACTGATCTAGGTTTCACATCCGTAGCTTGCAGACGGCCAAATTAAATTCAGCTTCATTGTGTTGCTGCTTAGCAGCTTGGCAAGCACATTTTGATGATACTCATCATGCAAGATCTTGCTGTTTATCCGCGTTGATGAATATCTGTTCAACATTCTACAATTTCATTAAAGATCTGTTCTTAAAAAGAAGCTCGGCAAATGATGCAGAAACCCGTCCCGTCAGATTGAGACTGTAGTCACTCATTCGCCAGGAATATCTAGTAGTGATTTAAACATCCCAAATATTCCTCTTCTTGCTTGAAAGACATGGCAATAGTTTATGATGGCTGTCACTCTGAACGACCTGCCGAATAACTGGTCGCCAAAATCGCCCAGACAAATGAGAGATTGGATCGTCGACTTGAAGCCAAATGAAGAATTTTCTTTCAAAATCGAACTGCCGTGGTGGACATAGGTATTTCGTACCAACTCAAGGTCTTCCACGACAATTCGAGTTGAGATTTGATTTCTGATCGCCAACTATCATAACCTTACTGCGCCGGTTGTCCGCTTTTTCTATGGCCATTTCAAGCCCGTTATTATTACAATTAGTATATCATCTGTATATCGTATTGTTGTGATCGACTTTCCCTTTGCCTTGAAATTTGAGAAATCCGACAATGTCTTTTAACACTGGCTGCTAAGTATTACACCAATCAGATTTGATCTTTCCAGAGATAACGTGGTACTCTGGCGACTTCCCTTTATCAAGATAGCCACTCAGATGAAAACCTCACTATTGACAATGCAGTGAACAGTCGTACAGTCCAATACACTCCTCAGGGAGGGCTCCAACACTGATCAATGAAATCAGTTTTCACTTTTGCAGAAACGTGCCTGAAATTGTGCACAAGTTGCACAAGAAAACTGCCAATTTTGTTTGTCTATTAAATTGTTCATTTATTTTACACAGAGGTCGGTAAAGTAAAGACTAACCAACCGCCTACATTCAACAGTTCGGAAAACAAACGGCAAGAATCCGACGTCGTTCGCCTTCCACTTCTTTGTTATTCGTAACAAGAATCTCCGGATAGTCTTTGTGTTCTGACCTGATGTGAAGACATAAGGGATTTTGCTCCGGAAATCGATCCCGGCAGTAGATGCAGTAATAGACGAGCGAGCTAACGTGCTTCAGCGTGTGCTGGAAAAGGCTGGCTGGATAGTCCGGAACATTTTTTAGGCATAACGTACAGCATCGTTCTGTGCTTAAGGAATCATCAACACGGGGTGTCTCTTTAAAGTTGTTCTCTGCTTCGCCAAAACAGGAAATGAACTGGAGCTTCCAGCGCGTACGCCACATTGTTGGTTCCCATTTGAAGGTCACCCTGTCTTCAGCGTGCTCGTTCATTGAGTGTCTGGAGACAAGGAAGTAGTTCCAGTCTGAAAACTCACAAAACGCGCATTGGAACGGAAATGTGCTCATGTGCTTGAGAGCATGTTGCTCTAGGTTCATCGTTGTGCCGGGTACCATGTCGTAGCACACCTTACAGATGATTGAGCCGCTGTAAACCGTGTCGTCGTTCTGGAAGCAACTGCTACATACATCCTGTTGGTCAGTCGGAAAAAGTCGCAGCTTCTTATGACACCCTAGACATTTCATTGCCGTCGCCTGTTCGTCTTTGGACGACGACGACGGAGGAGTGGCCAGTGCCAAGTCGTCCGCAGATCCTGCAGATTCACAATGAGAGCAGTCGTAGGCAAGGATGTGCAGGTAATTGCTTTTGAGGCGCTCCAGGTTAGCACCGATGAAAAACTTCGGAAAGCAAACCGGGCATATTTTCAGGAATTCGCGCAAGATCTTGACATCGTGCTCCAGCAGGTCAACCGCAGTCTTGCGCGTCTTGTGAACCTCTTTGGTATGCCGCTGAATAAAGCTTCGAGAGAAATGGACCAGGCTGCATTTCGGCAGTAAACACCTGTACGTCGGCTTCGACAGGTGACTCCGAACGTGTTCCTCCAAAAGGGACTGGTTCCTTGAAAATAGATTAAACAATTAAAGCCTCACTTCGCTCAAAGCCATGCAAGATTACACTGAGATTGTCATGCACAGACAGAAACAGCTGATTGATGTGGCTGTCACTTATTGGTTAATGGACATTTAAGTATAATCTTATGAAAGTGAACGAAGACAGGTACTTAAGAAAAAGCAGCAGCATGGAAACAACCACCGAATATGTAATTGACTACACCTGAAGAGTGCACAAGGTAAACAGAGTTCAGCAGTACACAAGAAAAAAAACGGAATACAGAGCTGAGTCAAAGATGTGGGCCTGACAGAATGAATTGGCAGCAGAACTGCGATCGATTTCCTCGAAACGCAAGAAACGCATATCTTCGACAACAAATAGTATTCCCATTGAAAACATTCCCCTCTCATTCGATATTAGAATTGTAGTCATAATTCTTACATGAAGATCATAGGCACGACGGTATGACAAGAAACGAAAAAAAAATTGTTGGAATGGCAGTATTCGTTACGCATACATGATTACGAGTATAGTTCTCGATTTCGCCTCACTGGTTTGTCCTGGTGCCACTGAGTTGGCAATCCCGAAAGGAAAAAAGGCGAGTGACCCCGACCGAAACTTGAACACAGGATCTTTTGGTTCTGAATCAGACGCTTTGCCGACATCCCGGTCTGACGAAATGTGTGATAAATTGCTTGTACAAGGGAATTCGAAATAAAGCAAAGATCGCCGGCCACAAGAGCTGAACTTGGCACCTTCGAAGTTCGAGTTTGAAGCCGAAAGGTTATGCTCTGTGCCACAGATCCACGATCTTGTTCGATGTCGAGCTTGTTCCTATGGTTGTGCGCCAATATTCCCTACGTGTTTAATATAGTCCTTGAAAATTAACAAGACTGACAAACTGTCGATATTTGCTTAAACGGAATATGGCTGTGGGTGAATACGCCTATAAAAAACGATGTTCTCCATTTATAATTTTAAACATGTTGAATTCGGTCAGTCATAGTCGAGTTCCATAAATCTTGCAGCATCATGCTTGGTCTTATGCTTAGAGCATATTCATTACTTTATTTCTCGCGCGCTTATTTCGCTGTGGTGGTTAACATTTCGATTCGTGTCGGCTCTTAAAACGAAGGCGGCGTATTTTGTTCAGAAAAGAAACTTTATGGAAGCCCGAAAGAAGTACGCCTCCAGCTGTCAACGTTTGTTCAATTATCTCTGTTCTCCGCTTTCTGTTTCCAACGATGCCAAAATAATTTGACCCTCGGGTCGTTTTAGCAAATCTCTGGACGACCGAGTGGACGTTCGTGGTCCAACGGAACTCAGTTTGTAACTCTTGAGGTCACCCATTATCTTTCGGACGAACCACGTAGCCGACCAAACATCTTTTGACGTCGTAAAAGGCAAAAATTACGGGGGACACCTTGCAGATCTTCAGCTCCATCTCTGCGTGAGCATTAGTTTGTTCTTTTCGGCGTTATTAGCAGGCCAACATTCAGCGCTGTAGATCATGATCGGATAGCTTACAGTCAAGTAGCGATGTTACAAAGTTTAGCCATAACGCCTTCCTTCGTCAGATGAATTCCCCACCTAGCGAGTTCTTGCGGTTTGCCTGACGGCGAGGTATGCATAGCTGGTGACTTTTTAGAATTCTTCGCGCATTGCACAGACAGAGTCCTCTGGCGATGCTCGTTTCGCATCCTCTGTTTGAGAGGTTAACTTCCAAATCGATCGTAACTGATTTTATTGGATCTTCGGTTACAGCTCAGTGGTGCACGAAAACGATGCACCCTCTGAAAGCGTTGACTTCTCTCCATCAGAACTGATATCGCTGCACCATTTTAGCTGATTGAAAAGCGCCTGTCAATTTTAGGTAGGTGCAATAGTCGATTTTTTGTTTCCTCTGTCTTTTCTGGTAATCGCTTTGCTCTTAGTTACTTTGCGCTTTGGATGCCTCTGTCTGGCAGATCCTGTCAAACTACTTTCTTGTACGTTTTTATGTCGTACTTACTTTGTTCCAGTTTGTTGTCTCTTTCTTAAATTTAGGTCGCTTTATTATGCGCTTCTTTGTCATGAAGTGATGATACCGTATCCCCTGTTCGTCAGCAGATGATTAGCAGGTTGCGTTATTCCCGCGAAGCTTTTCGAATACTCTGTAAGACTTCGAAATTTTCCCGACAGACTTTCAGGAAGGTGTCAGAAGCGAGAATCTTACGCGAAGCTCCACATCGAAGAAGGCACGATCGTTACATTCGTATGCTCAGTGTAAAACAGTACTGTTATTTATTCGCTGTATGCAACCATTAACTGTGATAGTGATGCAGTTTTATATGCTGACAAATGGAGTTCTTTTGTGATTACATATAAGGAGGAAATTTTCATACTTCTCATGTTCTAGACACATTTCTCGGTAGATCATAATATGGCGTGGTTAACTTGAAACTTGATGTCACTCATGCTAGCAAGGTTCAGTTTCTCGATCAGGCTGACTTAAACAGGGTTTATATGTCCGTGGTTTGCATTTAATATTTAGCCTTAAATTCGATTGAATCTAACGCCTTCTTTTAGTGGATGAAAGCAAAATATAGTGGCACTTGATATGCACCCCTCCGTCAGATGCAGCTCCAAGTGTACATGATCGGTGGCAAAAATTCCTGTAAGAAAAGCGGCTTATAACTAGTTCGAGGCTGAAGACTATAGATTTGCGACAGGAGTGTAATTAGTCGATAGTTCCTGAGGTCTTCGAACTCGCTTTTTTTAGTGGAACTGCTCTTGACGTATTCCAAGACTGAAGTTTCCTCTTTCTTGACGGCTTGTTCTGCTTGAAGTATTGCGTAAAACGTTTGGCAGATCTTGAAACAGGATTGTTTCTCCTGTTTTAAGGTTCTGTAGACTTATGCCGTGCTTACATGGACATTTGCCATTTTCGATGTTTCTCACTGCAAACTCAAATTCATCTCAGGCTCTATCTGAAACGACTTCGAGAGCGGCGTGTGACAAGGTGTTTGTGCATGCATTTCGAACAGTATTGGTTTTAGCTACTGTGTGCTGTATATTAATCAGAAAAAGCGACTCTCACCTCAGGACGTAGCTCTGGCACAGTTGACAACGCTCTTCCCTGCCGGCAACGGCAGAAAAATCAGGAATAAGTCCAAGTTGCCGCGTTTCTTCAATGAGCTGGCTCTTCTCTGCTCTTTGGTTGTTGAAGATCTGGGGACGAAAAAAATCCTTATACGGTTTAATCAGGTCCTGACTGACCGCCGCGCAGCTGGATCGCCGTTTGTCGTTGATCGCCGGCGAATCGCCGCCGCCATTGGTGACGGAGCGGATCGAATCAGGACGATCGACGCCGGAGCTGTCGTTCATCAGAACGTCCCTGGTATGCTGTAAGCATTGCTCGGCGATCGACCAGGCTCTCTTCTCCAGTTCGGCGTCAGGCAGGTACAGCACCTTGCCCGTACCGTTATGGACGCGTTTGATATGCAGGTCGATGAAGATCTGCTTACGGTTGTCGTAGCCGCACATGTTACACTTGTATGGCCTGTACTGCAGGTGAGATTCGATATGCATGAACCTGTTGCGCGAGCACACCCATTCATTGCATAGGATACACTGTATGTTCGGGTAGAAAGCAGCGTCGTTGTGACGCGACAGTTTTGGCGACGTCAACGAACGAATCAGCTGCGTCGGTTGTGACAGTAACGTCGGTAACGAAGGCACTACCGAACATGGCGCATATTGAATACCACCTGACGACTGCAACGGTGTCGTCATGCTGCTGTCGATCACTGGATCCGTGGAGCAGTTCTGAGTTCTAGCCGCTGCTGGAGATGGACTTTGCAGGCACAGCGAAAGAATAGGTGTCTTGTCGATTATGGCATCCGCGCTAATAGAGCTTGGCGAAGATACCGGAGGCTGAGGGTCAGGGTCAGAGTCAGGTTCCTCCTTCATGGAGAGGCGTAGATCACATGAGTTAGCACACTTTCGGCTGTACGACTCGATTTCGGCCAACTTCTCCTTGTGCCAAAGCTCGAACAAGGCGCGCTTTCGAGCTTTCACCTTCGACATCTGCAGACCAGTCGACTTCGACTGAGCAATTGGCTTCTCGACAGTCGCCGATCTCGACATGACCTCCACCGCCAGCCAGGTACCTAAATGAAGATATGAATGGATATATTCTGTTGCGATAAATCGTGAAGAATTATTAGAGGTTCAGGTATCTATTTAAAAAAGAAGAACCAAAATCAGAGCAGTTTCCGATTTGGGCATGACTTTAACAGATGCAAAACAAAACTTTATGTTCAAAAATATAATTCACTAGTGATTTCATTGAGAAAGGAAAATATTCGTTCAATCATGCACTGCAAAACGCACACAAAAAAATGAAAGGTTTTTCGGTGAATTCCACGGAACAGAAACGGATCCAATTCTCGATTCGGTTTTTTTGATCCGGCAGACGACGAAGGAAGAGAATCTTTGGAAATAGAGGTGCCGCAGGCAGTGCTAACGTACAGGGACAGACAGTTAAAGGCATGGAGCTGTTCCATCGCTTCAGAATCTTACTGAAGTAATTGGCAGGACGTTGTAGACAAGAAGTGTTTCCTTTGTTTCTCAGCTTCGCCGTTTCAGCTCTAAAGGCTATCGCGCATATGATCATCAGGCGTCCGCTTGCACAGTACTGAGATACCGCGGCATTTTACCGGTTACGCTGTATGGAACCGAGATATAGTTTCAACAAAAGGAAGAGGCGAAAAATCTTCAGCTCTTCAAGTGTGCAGTCAGATGCTGCTCCTCAAAGTCAGGTGCGCAACGCAGCAATTGCTAAATCGGTCGATGCTGTACCTCGTTGATCCCCTGACCAGAGTGACAACAGTGTCCTCACTGCAGCTGCATGCACAGTCGTGTCTCAACGTCGTCTTCCTGGCACCTCTGATGCAGAGCACTCAAAAGATGGACGGGACGGTTTGTCTCAGCAGGCCAGCTGTTTCCAAGCAGTTCAGATGTACCATCGCCATAGACCGTTGTTCTCTGGCGGAACGGTCCCAGTGTCAACCACACGCCTTTAGCGATGATGTTCGATATAATCGTGCCACAGAGTGAGCGAGCACACGGGTTGCGGATAGTGAAACAATCCTGAGATGTGCGAGTTAGAAGCGAGCTATCTGAGAAATCGGACAAATAGGCAGTCGCTAACGACAAGGCAATCCAGTCACTAAAAGTTTAATAAATTAACGCAAATCCTGAGGACGTCACTTAATTTGGTGAGGACATATGCTATCAAATTCGACGAAGCCGTAGCTCATCTTGTGTCTTGAGTCAAGACGCCCCATTTCCTTAATCGAGTGTAATTGCAACTTGTTATACTCGAGCAGCGTTGAAATATGTATCCGGATTATCTCATCAGTAGAGTATGATTACAAACATAAATATTGCTCATTCCCACTTTTGCACTGAAATCACCCGAAACAATCAAGATATCGTGGATTCGGCACTGTTGCTGCAGAAGATTTAGCGTATCATAAATTCTTCCATTGCTCTCTTTGCCGCAGCTTCGATAGCGGTATAACAATCAACTACTGTGAGGGACAATGTTTTGCACCTGGTCATGAACCTTGCCATGATGATTCGGTCAGACGCCGTGTTCTAGGATACAAGGACTATGTGTATGTCTATCGGTGTAACAAACAGCACCTTCAGCTGAAGCGCCGTGCTTTGCATTCCCTGTAAAAGAGAAGCTCTAATTTTCATCTGTCACAACGCTGTTCCAAGTCAATACGTCTTTCGTATTACAATTACCTATATTCTCATACGATTCAGTTCTCTAACCAGTGTAGTCTGTCAAGATCTGCATAATGCTAACATATTTTACGTGGCAAATTGTGGTAACATTTATCGCCGAAAGGTATTTTTCTCTGTACTGAATATTTTAGAGATCCATACTTATAGCCAGTGATATTTCGAAGTCCGATACCAATAAAATCTGGTCCACGTGAGAATTCTGTTTTGTTTCTGTAATCAGCGATAAATTCGCTGAGTAGGTGATTAACTTGAAACAGTTACGCTAGAGTTTCGTTAGTCTTTCGTTTTAAGGTTCATGTGAAACCGTCACGACAACCGTATAGCCTGAAGAGAATGCACTTCGCTCTTTACTTCACCCTGATAAGCATTCCCTTGCGTTAGAGATTCCTCAGTCCTCGGAGATTGAACTTTGAGAACCGGCTGACCATGGCTCAGGAATTTGTGATTGTTCTTCACAAGATAAGTCCTATTTTGTACCGTTATCCCTGTCTAACGACAGTCGGCTTGTGTTAGGGTTCATTTGACTGAGAACATAGCAGCAAATAATTTACATTCTACTTAGCCGAAATACTATCTATAAGTTGCAATCGCTCATTCATTTTGACAGCCATCTATTTCATTCAGGTTGGGATGCAGCAGTCTGATTTCCAGGTAGTCTAACAACTTTCATGTAATATATGTTAATGCAATATATGCATAGCAATTAAATTTATTACAAATGGGAAAATGCAGTTTAAACGCGTGTCACCGAATATATGTTCATCTAGGCGATAAAGCAAGAAACCAGAACGGTGGCTGCTGATACTATTTATTGCTTATCTTATGATGGCACTTGAGACACCTATCAGATGGATATTTATTGGATTATCAAATCAGTAAACAGATAAACTTCTATTATTCGTTACTGCTTCATTATTTATAGGTTTGATCAGTTAAGCTCGAGAACGGTTAACAGAGTTCGAGTCCTGGTCGATCACTCATTTTTAACCCTAAATCCGAGGTAAGTAAATCAGTACTACTAAGTGTGTCAATCAGTTAATTAAGTTTTTTCAATAGTTATGGTAATTTGGCTACAGCAATGGGAGTGAATGTGACAGACGAAAAACCAGGGACAGTAGATGTATCTTTCAGATGACGTTTCCAGAATGATTTAGGCACGGAATATAGTTTTTCTTGTGTTGTTTAAAAATGCGTTATGTTAATTTATGCACAAACAAACATTTTTAATGTATTTTTCAGTTTTTATTGATATGATCAAATTATCCACTCTTGTTACGTAATATAGTATGAGATCAGGAACTGTGTAGTCACAGCTGAACTTTAATCAAGATCCGAAGTGATCGTGCATTTCAAGGTGACGAGCTACCATGGAATAACTTTGCGCATATGTCCTCTCATCCCTCGTGAGTGACAGCCTTAATTGACACGAGGTTCGTGCCTTGGAAACATTTTCCGAAAGTCACATCTATTACTGTTATAATGCATCACTGGCATGTATAAAAAAAAGATATTTTTTCAAGAAACTAGTCACTGTACCCACAGTGCACTATTGCGACGTCGTCGCGAGAGTACTAGGCGCTAGACTACGAGTTTCAGACTAAACACGTTTCTCATCTCACCGGTTACAAATATTTATTCCTTTTCTTTTATATATACTGTAATATGATAGTCGACCCACAAGAACTGTTTAACTGGTCATTAGTGATAAAATGGGAATGATACGAGGTAAAGATATTGATTCAAAACGAGTGAACGGAAATACGAACTGTTCCTGTGACATTTATTTGAGGTCCAGTGGCTATATAATCTTCAATCCTTCACTCAGACTGTGGCCAACAGCTCAGCAGAGGTAGTTAGTGGAACAATGACACTTC